AAGAGGACTGTGGCACTGAGATTTAGAAGTTACTGAAGTCTGGACACACATGCTATAGTGAGAGTTTCTATTTTGGTTTTGCCCAGATGTAAGAAATCATTAAATCATGAAGTCATCACAGTACTCAAAGAAAACGTACAGTCACACGTTTTGCAGAACAGTTGTTAGAAGAGTCTGAAAACTTGATTTGTGAGATCTCAATTAAACAATCTTTATTTAGGAATCCCTGAAATTCTCTAGCATGTAACTCCCAGAGGCCCCGCTTAATTAGAAAATTGATCATGGGAAAACTTCTTAAGATGTAGGCTCCTAATCATAGCTTTCCTGTTATCACCTTCTGCCAAAGATCCTTTGCTCACAGGGAGTTGTTCCTTCTCCCCCCTTTAGCCCTGTATTATTTCACTTGCAATATTTTTAACCTGTAAATAACTACAGAGAGTAAAGGTAACTTAAATGTGCTGCAACAGAAGTGAGTAAGAAAAATTTGATCAGAGGCAGAAAAGACAGTAGAAGTGAAAGCTGTTGTACAACCACACGGAGATGACACATTCGTACCAACGCAGGCTGCTGAAAGATACTAATTATGCCTCTGGCAAAGGGCACACGGGCTCCTTCAAAGAAGCTATTTAAAGATAAGAACACTGCAGACAAACACTTCAGAGATATCTGTGCTATTCCCTTCCTTCTTGTGTTGGAAATTCTAGGTCACAGTTTGGATTTAAAAATAAATAAATAAATTTTTAAAAAATAGAAAGCAGGGGAACCTTGCCAAGTCTGGTCAGTGAGATATATTCCAGGGTGCTCAGATATTCATCAAACGTTACAGCTTTTTCATTCTGCCCTGTTTACCTTTTAAGAAGTAATTAGTACATTGTATTATCAAATCAAGGGTTCAAAAAACTAAGCTAATTAAAAATACGTCTAAAGCCCCTAGTATTCTGGATAATGAAACCGAGCAAGTCATCTTGGTTAAATTATCTCCCTTTGAAATTACAGGATGGTAAAAATAAATAAATAAATAAATAAATAAATAAATAAATAAAAGCTATTTGAACCATTAGATTTTCTGAAACATAGGAGAAGGCCAGGTATATAGGACTCTTTTTCCTAAATATAGGACCTTACACATGTCAAGGGCCTTTCTTCCATGTCGTTGCATGATAGTACACCTCCATCACTCACAAAATTCAGCTGCTGCTGCTTAAAATAAACACCCCAGAGTACTGAAGAGTGAATTTCTAGCAGTGACTGACATTTTTTTAATTTCTCTGTCTAAAAACACAAAATGAAAGCGCACTCTTATTCAGTACCACAAATTTACACCTTGTTTCTGACACTGCTGCTGGATGTTGTGGGACAAGGACAGAGACATGACCACAGAGCTGTTTTCACACTGGTCCTGGAGAAGACTGCCTTGCTGAAGAAAATCTTTGCCCATGAATGCAGGTACTATATCATCAGAGCATTTTGAAGAACTAGGACCTAAGAGGGTCCAAATTATTAAAAAAAAAAAAATTTAAAAACCCCCCAAAACCCAACAAACCACCAGCCAAACACATATACACACAAACATGGGGATTTATTGTCCTGGATTGTATTACTACTGCACTTACTACTAATTGACTTTCAAAGTGCTGTGCTCTTATTTCCATGTAAGTGTGTGTCACATTTCATTATGAAAGTTTAAAATGCCAAGGCTGGACAGACATATCTGGACAGAAATCAGAAAAAACACATGTCCCACCATGCAAGCAGTTTTGAATCCCTCAACACTTCAAGAAATAATAGCACAGAGGTTCAAAACCAAAACAAACCCCTTCCAAAAAAATCCCAAGTCTTCCCTACGCAGGGCTGAAGTAAGCTGCTGGCTCTTCCCTCTCCAGGCTGACTGGGTACCACCAGAAGAGCAGTACAAAACTAAGCCTGCCAGTGCCCTGGAAAGTCACTTGTCGGACCTTTCTGGAGCTGGATGTACCAATGGGCTGTTCCATGAACTCCCTACAAGCATATTAAGAACCAATTTCCACCTCCTTTTTTTCCAACGGGTACATCAAGAAGAGACCAACACCTGGAACTAAACCACTCAAGGGACCAAACGGGCAAAATCTCAGGCAGCCAGGGCTTCCTGAAGGCCACAGCAGTTCAGACACCAAAGCCAGAACCATGCTAATAGCAACAACCTCCTGCTCCACCACAAAAATGCATCCAGGTAGCTGACGTCCAAGAATACTCCTCCCCCCTGTTTTTACTGTCTTTTGTCAGGCTTTATACAGAGATGACACAGCACTAAGCTTGTGGAGGTGCTGAAAGAGAGAGCTGACAGCTTCCCCTCTCTGCTTTTCTTCAGCCTGTTTAAGCAGACCAAGAACACGCCACATGTGGCTCAGAGCAGATTTTCCCTCGTGGTTTTTAATAGAATTGTGATTGGGATCTTGCCATCTGAACGCACGTGTTGTCTGAAGTATTATGAGTACTCCTGCACAGTGACAAAATTAGGAATGAATTGCAAGTTCTTAATTGACATTACAAAACATCAATTATTCTACAGATGAATAACAAAAGAAAATTACAGGTGCATGAGCTAAACAGCCACTGATTAAATTTTTTTTTAAAAAAAACAAAACAAACCCACAAACCTTCTGAATGAAGCACTGGAATAGGACAGACGTACTGTGCTTCCCATTTGCATTGTTAAAGCAGAATGCTAAGAGACAGTAGGAAATAAACATGGAGATAAGTCACATCCCCACACACAGGTTGCCTTTCTTTAAGTGCAAGTGCCTTCAAAGCTATAAATAACACAAGCTTAGTTAGCAAGCAGTGGAAATGAGTGTGTGAATGCAGCCATGTGTGTTCACACACACACACACACACACACTCCATCTGAATTTTCTCACCAACAACTGTGGCAGTTGGCCCAGATCACAGCAGTGACATGCTGCCAACTGACTGATCAACCTCACAGTAGACTAAATTAGAAATACATTTCCACCGATTAAATTTCACAGGACTGTGATGCCACTTTAAACTCTTAACATTAGATTCTGCTCCTCGCAATCCTTTAAACAAACACAAAAGCTGGCAAACCACCCCTCCTCCATGCCCTCCACCCACCCACTTTACAAGTCCCAACAGGATGGAAGCTCCATATTGGACCAGAGTCAAGACAGATACATTAGCAACTGGTCTATCTATAGTGACCACTAGCCTAGAATCTCACAGAAGAGAAGAAAAAAATAAATGAAA